AGTTTCAGAAAGAAAATAAATTCTAAATTTTTTTTTATATATACACACACTGAAGGTATATCCTATATGATATTATTAGTTTATTAAATATAAATTTAGTTTATTAAGTAAATAAACTATTTCACGTCTCAACATATTAAAATATAATAAGTCAGAAAGGTAATTCAGGATCATCGACTATTTTGCTTCACTAATATCCAAAGCCTGAACATAGTAAAAATTTTACAGCATTACAGAAAAATCTATATGATTAGTTTGTAGGGATAATTACTGTAATTTTATTATACGGCGAATTACATTCACGAGTAGCAACTTAATAAATTCCGCGCGTTTGGAGCTAAGAGATAAAATAATGAAAAGGCCAATAAATGATTATAAATCTCGGACTCTAAAATACGTAGTCTGTAAACTCAGTTCGGTAAATATATAGGTTTGTTATGATATTATGTTGCACTGTCTTGCAGAAGAGAAGACATTCGTAAATATTTAGATGTGTTGTTTGCTACGATTTTTAGGCAATTTGATATTATCAATGTTATATAGAAACTCTAAAATTTTTATTGCTCTCAAGAGATGTGCTGGAGATTTTTACTCAAGATAAAAAGTATGCAGTAGCATTTCATCCCTTTTATTTACATATATATATATACATACATATACGCATCTTTTCGATTAGAAGAATATCCAGGTGTGATTTGCCATTTAGAAAATTAATGACATTTGATAAGTACGACATCTTATCAGGGGCCATACAAAAAAATTTGAGGCTCATTAAAGCGCTTCGGTATATAAGAAATAATATTACACGTGAATCGACGCTGTCAGCTTACACATGGATCGACGCTATCAGCCAGAGAATTCCTAATGCACCATGATCGTGAATAGAATATTTCCGAGAATGAAATATCTGCCTTAGAAGAAAGGAAGACCTAGCGCAATAAAGGAGAAAATCAATACTGTTCTGTTAATTTACGTATTTATTCCTATTGTTTGAATAGTCTATATAGTATGTTACACTCTTAATTATATATGGCCCTCGAATGTTATATTATATAAAGCTATTTACATATACTTATTCAAATAAATTATAATTAAAACTTTAGGAATCTTCCTTAAATCAACGAGCAATCTGTGTTCTTCGGGATAGGAAGAGTGGATTGTTCACAAAGAATCTCGGGCATTAAGATAATTTCAATTAGGAGCATTTACTGGTGCAACAGGAGCTTTTTGGTTTTATGGTGTATATATGAAATATAAATATATAATAAATGCAATATATAAATAGCAATTTTTACGAAATCGGAAATCGACGAAGCTAGAAAGTATATATGTACTGTATATTACTATCATTTGTATAATAAAAATTTCTTAAAATTGTGCATGCTGTGGTATATATATATATGTACCATGCAATGAACATGTAGCAATTTCTTATGATAATAATTCATGGGTATAGAAGCACTAAAGATAATTTATTTTTTTTATTAGTTTATTTTAATATATATTATTATACTAATTTTTTTATTTAAGACTGAATCAATAGTAAAATAAAATAAATAATATTGTTAAAATTTATTATTGGGGAGTCATGGTTTTACTATTTCGACAATTCATTATAATCATTATAATTAGTTTTATGTAAAAGGAGATATTAATCACATCACATCTTCCATATTTTTCTTTAGCTTCAGAAATACACTTATTATTAAATCGAAGTTTAGTAGTATAATCTCAAGAAAAAGAAAAAAAAACATTATATATCTCATGTGATCTACATTTTTACAAAAATAAAGTTATATAAAACAAAATTCTTAAAGTAGATAAATATTAAAATATTTTAATGACAATATCATACTTCAAAAAAATTTTTTTCTCAAATTATTGTCGCAACGCATACAGATCATACATATACACATAACTTTCATTGTAAATCAATGGCAACATTTCAAGTTCTTACTTACCACGATGTCGCGTGTTAATACTAATTCAATTGTAAATTCTAAGATTCATAAATGAGAGATTCATATAACCGACAATATTCAAAAAATAGCTTGACATATTAAAAATAAACTAAAGTTCCATCGTACTAATTCGCGTGTGAACTAACGGTATAGATTTTCTAAAATACAATGTATATGTCAAAACATTTGTAATATATACATTAGAGCTACAGTTAGTACATTGTAAAAGCGTTCTTAGAATTATGAGATTCATATACAGAATACTTCAGAAATATATTGAAATGTGACTTGCCTGATTCGTGATTGTGATTCTCTTGGAGATTTAAATTCCATAAAATAGTTTAAACACGAATATATCTGATCAGTTTTGTAACGCGTACTTAAAAATTGTTCTATATACTGTACAATTAACAATAAGATTATCGTACCCCTGATTTTGATAAACATTTCAAGTACTTCCTATTTCGATATAATCTTGTACGGATTTATAATAAATGGTTGGATGCTATCTATTGGGCCGCTGTTCTTCCACAAGTGCTATCAATCGTTGCCGTGTTTTCTTATTATTTTGACACGTCGCCGAAATCAGACCGACTAAATGTTTAACTGAATATTCCTGCAAGTCAATGATATATTTTATATACTAGTATTGGAGGTAAAGAATAAAAAATGCTGTGTGTGTGTGTGTGTGTGTGTGTGTGTGTGTGTTGTGTGTGTAATACTATGAATATTATACATACCTTGTGCTCCTTAATCCATTCTTCAAAGCTATTTTCAGGAAGATAATAGGCTTTGATGTACAATTCAACGTACTCCCTATGTGGCATAGGTCTCAACGATGTCACTTTCTCAAATTTTGACTTTAGCTGCGTGAAATCGAGTTGCATTAAAGCTCTACCACCATTGGAACATTTTTTAGCATTGGAAAACCTAGAGTGACAAAATTATATTTCTATTAATTGAATGTAGTTCTTTTAAAATATTAAGTACTTTCAGAAAGATATAATCATAAATTTTCTATACCCTTCCACTAAAGTATGTGTAATCAAGTGAGCCACATTTTCCCATACTGCATTGCATATATTCGTATTTAAAGTTATGTATGTTCCAATAGTGTTAAGTCTCTCATTCAAAGTGCACACTTCCTATGAAAAAATATCAAATTATAGTTCAATGTCATAATTGACAAAATTTTGTTTAACAAATTTTATTTAACACATAC